ACCACCTCGGACTCCTGAGCAGCCCCAACGCCCGCTGCCCCGAAGAATGGCGTAGGAGGGAGGGGTCTCACAGGCACGCAGTAGGTCAGATGCCTCTTGTCCTTGCCCTGACTGGGTGCCTCTGTCCCAAACCAGGGCACCCTGTGCCCCAGGCTCTCCCCTCCTTCCTGCAGCTGACATTCCTGGTGGAGCCTGTGACGGAAAATGCAGGCACCAGTCTGGTTGGTCCCTGCTTGCTGGGGCCACTGGGCTATTCCTGTGAGACCCCACTTCGAGGTTATTTTTAAAAATATATATTTTATTGATTTTTTACAGAGAGGAAGGGAGAGAGATAGAGAGTTAGAAACATCAATGAGAGAGAAACATCGATCAGCTGCCTCCTGCACACCCCCCACTGGGGATGTGCCTGCAACCAAGGTACATGCCCTTGATCGGAATCGAACCTGGGACCTTTCAGTCTGCAGGCCGACGCTCTATCCACTGAGCCACAACAGCTAGGGTTCCTTCTATGACCTGTAGATGCCAACTGCTGCATGGCAGCCCTTTATCAACCTGAGCTGTGACCTTGCTCTTAGTTCTGTGAGACACATGTTTGTAACGAGACTGCCCCTGCCCACCAGTGTCAACTTGGACTTCACCAGCATTTGTCTGCTTTCAGGTTCTTGGCCCGGAATGGAGGATGAGGAGATACCTTGTCAGCAAAGGGTTTCTGCAGAAGGAGTGTCACAGGCCAGGACTCCCAAAGCAGGCCCTTCCACCCAGCAAGCCTACCCCTGCGAGGCAGGCGGCCTGGTCTTGAAGGACATTTCGCACTTGGCTGAGCACCAAGAAACACACTCTGGGCAGAAACAGTGTGGGGGACAGTTCTGGTTCCGTGGGAACCTTCACCACCAGAGACAGGGCAGTGGAGAGAAGCCCGTCAGGAGAGACGAGGGCCAGGCCTTTCTTGTGGGCAGCTGCCCTGTCCAGCCCCTGGCAGTGCCCTTTGCGCCTGGAGAGGCCCGGGAGGGCTTCTTAGCTCGCTCAGGCCGCTCCCAGCACCGCGCCCCCCACGGTGCGTGGAAGCCACACGGTGATGGCAGGTGTGCGGGGGCCGTGCCCAATGGACAAAGGCATTACGAGTGCAGCGAATGCGGGAAAGCCTTCAGCCGCAAAGACTCGCTCGTCCAGCACCAGAGAGTCCACACTGGAGAGCGGCCGTACGAGTGCAGCGAATGTGGGAAAACCCTTCAGCCGCAAACCCATACTTGCCCAGCACCGGCGAATCCACACCGGAGAGATGCCCTACGAGTGTGGCATCTGCGGGAAAGTTTTTAACCACAGCTCCAACCTTATTGTCCACCAACGAGTCCACACCGGAGCGAGGCCTTACAGATGCGGCGAGTGTGGGAAAGCCTACAGCCACAAGTCCACGCTAGTGCAGCACGAGAGCGTCCACACGGGAGAGAGGCCCTACGAGTGCAGCGAGTGTGGGAAATACTTTGGTCACAAGTACAGACTCATCAAACACTGGAGCGTCCACACCGGGGCCCGGCCGTACGAGTGCATCGAGTGCGGGAAATTCTTTACCCAAAGCTCCGACCTCATCGCGCACCAGAGGGTCCACAACGGGGAGAAGCCCTACGTGTGCAGCGAGTGTGGGAAAGCCTTCAGCCACAAGCACGTGCTCATTCAGCACCACAGGATCCACACCGGGGAGAGGCCGTATAAGTGCAGCGAGTGTGGGAAGGCCTTCAGGCAGAGGGCTTCCCTCGTCCGACACTGGAACGTCCACACTGGAGAAAGGCCATAGGGTGGCGGGGAGTGGGCCTGTCCGTGGTCACAGGTGACTGACGCCAGACAGAAGCTCTGCGAGCCGCCTTGGAGAGGAGCCATCAGCCGGAAGTTGGCCCCCATCCCTGTGAACACCCACCCCAAGAAGATTCCTCTGAGGGTCCCTCCTCGGGAAGCTTTCTGGAGCAATGTGGCTGGCGCGTCATCACCTGCCCAGCACCCCTGCCACAATCCTGTCACTGCCAGTGTCTGCAAGGAGCCATCCACCCATGTGTCAGCGCCCCATGTTGAGCGAACATCGGCCAGCATGCTCTGCTAGGCCAGCGGCTCGCAACCTGTGGGTCGAGACCCCTTTGGGAGTCTAACGACCCTTTCACAGGGGTCGCCTAAGACCATCGGAAAACACGTATATAACTACATATTGTTTTTGTGATGAATCACGATGCTTTAATTATGTTCAATTTGTAACAATGAAAATACATCCTGCATATCAGATATTTACATTACAATTCATAACAGTAGCAACATTACAGTGATGAAGTAGCAACAAAAATAATTGTATGGTTGGGGGTCACCACAACCTGAGGAACTGTATTAAAGGATCGCAGCACTGAGGAAGGTTGAGAATCACATGTGACAGGAGACCCGGGCTCCCCTTCCCGTTTACCACCGGGGAAGT